GGCACAGCCTTGAGCTCTCAGGTCTCTTGTGACTCACCCAGCAGACAAACTGTCTGCACCCAGGAATGAGTGACTACAGAGAACACCTAACCCTAACACTGACCCTCATGGAGTTGTGCCATGCCAACCCATTCTCAGGCTGCCTCAGCCTGGGGCCAGTTTGGTGTGCCAGAAGTACAGCAGGAATGACTCAAACTAAACCCAAGGTGCTCTCAATTCATCTGTTACCAGTATTATTCCTGGTTCAATTCTTTAAAATCTACTTTCATTTATTCATTCATGTGATCATTCACTTATTCAGCAACATTTACTGAGTGCCTACCATGTGTCAGGTACTGTGTAAGGTACTGGGGATGTATAAGGCAAAGTCCTATCCCCAAGAAGTGGGATGCTAGGTCATTCTCATTGGAATATTATTTTTCCCATCTAAAAAAGTCAATAAACCCCTCTCTAGACCCTAATGTTTCTAATTCATCTCCCAGATACTACTTTTGCCCTGATGTTCTTCTCATTTTACTAAAACCTTGAGGCATTCATTTATATCTGTTGTGTCCAAATTCTCTCCTTCCTTTCTCTCTTGAATTCACTCTAATTACTGTTCTGATATAGATCACTGGTGACCTCTATATTGCAAAATTCAATAATGAATTCTCAGTGCTCATCTAACCTGAGCTATCTTCAGTGTATCTTCACAGCTTCACTCTTTCTTCCTTGAATCATCCATTAGTTCTCTTCTTTCTCCTCTAGCTTCTTCTCAATATCCTTTGCTTGTTGCTCTTCAACCCAATCTCTAGACTTTGGAATGCTTTAGGCCTCACCTTTATACTTAATCTTTTTACTCTCTAAATTTACTATTTAGGTGATTATCCAATCTTGGGTCCCAAAGTTCTATCTGCAGACCAGAACTTGCCTATGAACTGTAGGTGGTATATCCAACTCTACTTGACATCTCCACTTTGATGTTAAATGGGCACCTGCCTCAGTCTGTTTGGGTTGGTATTAAAAAAAACACACATTCTGAATAATTTTTTAAAAAACACAAATTTATTTTTCACAGTTCTGGAAACCGTATTGTTCAAGATCAAGGTGCTACTGGTCTGGTGAGTGGCTACTTTCTCACTGTTGGCACCTTGTTGCTGTGTCTTCGCATGATGGAAGGAGTGAGAAGCTGCACTCAGGTCTTTATTATAAAGGTACTAATAACCATTCATGAGGGCTCCATTCTCATGACATAAAGCCACAACTCTCAGTTTCATCACCTTGGAATTAGGCTTTCAACATATGAATTTGGGAGAACACAAACATTCAGACCTCAAACATATCACGTTCAAAACTAAGCCATTAATATTTACCCCTAAAACCTACTCTTTCCACAATCCTTCCCATCTCAACTAAATAGCAACTCCGTGATTCTAGATGATCAGGCCAAAATCTATGTGGTCTCTCATTAGTGCACTTTGTCTCATGCTTAACAGTCTGGCAGCAAATCCTGCATACTCTGTCTTTCAAAACACATATGTACAGATTTGAACCACTTCTCATTTGTTCCCATATCATTGCCATTCCAACCACCCCTTTTGAAGCCACCATCATTTCTCACTTGGATTATTGTAGTAGCCTCCTAGCTGGTTCTGCTGCTTCCACTCTGTATCCTTCAGTTTATTCTCAACATAGCAGATTTAATGAGCCTATTAAAATCTATGTCAGATTATATTACTTTCTGTTCAATGATAGTAATAACTCAACAAAAGCTAAAGCTCTTATGGCAGTTTCACAGCTTCAATTACCTGGCCCCTATTAATTCTTTGAATTTATCTTCTACCACTTTTCCTCTGGTTCTCAAATCTCCAGCTACACTAGATTTCTTGTTGTTCTTCAAAGTTAAGAACACAAATAGAAATAACAGAAGAATGAAGTAAGCATCGAGAAAGAGAGAGATACAATCAATAACTGCTACCATTTTTTTAGCACTCAGTTTATGGGACTACTATGTTGTGTGCTTTATATATGCTTTCATTTAATCTTCACAACAACTCTATGGAGTAGGCAAAATGATAACCCACGACAATGATGATGATGGAAGCAGCTAGCAATAGCTTACAAAATAACATTTACTAAGTGCTTAATATTACCTACTCATTAGACCAAGTGTTTACTGTATCTCACATAGGTATACAGACATTCCTCATTTAACCACTGAGTTCCATTCTTGCTACTAGGTCCTTAAATGAATTGGTCGCTAAATGAGGAATTGCATATACTATGTACACTACAATATTCAGGACAAAGAAATGGTCAAAGGAAACTCCAACTTGATGATTTTGCTTTCATTTGCATAACTCCTGCATGCAGTACTGTAATGTATAACAGAACATAAAACTACAGTACTGTACTCTACAGTACAATCAGCAAAAATTACAGTACAGTAAGTCCCCAACTTATGAATATTCGAGTTGTGAACTTTCACAGTTGCACTGTATGAGACTCATTTTGTTGGCTTACGAATGAATCTGACTTATGAACAGTTCTTCCAGAAATGAACTCATTCATAAGTCAGGGATTTATTATACTGTATAAGCAAGGTATATTGTAACAAAAAAGACATTGAGGCTCTGTAAACAAGATGTATAGAACTGTACAAAAACAAGGTCATAAGTTTCAACTGTAGATGAGGATGACAAGGGCCAGAAAAAATGAATGACTTATTCAAGATCACAGAGGTGTGCAGGTATGCAGGTTTGACTTTCAGGCTCATGTTCCTAAAGTGTTCTAGGACTTCCATGCAGACAGCTCCTACCTTGTTCTGGAAGGTGCATCTGTGCAGGGAGAAAGACCCCATGGAGGAGTAATGTGTGAAAATGAGAAATGAAAGGCCTCCTCATGGTCCAGCAAGTAGCTCTGCTTAGTCAGAGCTGAGGGTGTATAATGGGGGACAGTGCCTGGATGGCAAAGCAGTTCTCCTGTCTCTCCTTGATCCTACTCACCTTCCCTGGGCCAGCTAGGGGTTGCAGCCCCCTATCAAATCTGTCTATCACTCAGGTCTTCATTTTGAAGTGCTTTAGTGCTCTAAAGGCTCTTTGGAATTCAAACAGCTTTAATTCCACTCCAAAGCAAGACAAAGTATAGATTTACGGAGTCAAGCCAAGTTGATAGCTCTCCTACTAGTTCTTTCTTAGGTGAAAGCAGTCCTGTGGCTTTTAGGAAATTGAAAATACTATCCAACTTCCTTCCCCTTTGCCCCTTTTCTTCCTATTTCACATTACCTATTATACATTTAGTCCTTATTTACACTTTCAGTTTCTCACACCAGGGAAACTATTCAGTATTTACACATGTGTGTCCTATTTTTTCCCCATTCCTAGCCCTCCCTTCACCCTCTCCACCCTTCCCTGTTTACAAAGACTTTATTTCCATTTTTTCTATTTCTCATCATTTCTTCCTTTCCCTTCTTTCTTTCCCCTGTGCCTCCCACTACCCCTACCTCTTTGGACCTTTTATTCCTATTTTACATTATCGATTATTCATTCTAATCATTGGTACATTTTAGGTATACAATATAATGACATTCATCGTTGGAAATTTGCACCTTTACATAGTCTCTCTTGGTTCTTGTTTTTCACCCTTGCCCTGCCCTCCCTTCAACCCCTCCAGTCCTCCCTATTTACCAAGATTTTGTTCCTATTTTTCCATTTTCTCATATTAATCCCATTCCCTTCTATCCTTTCCCCTAGCCCTCCCACTTCCTTCCCCTTTGCCCCTTTTCTTCCTATTTCACATTACCTATTATACATTTAGTCCTTATTTACACTTTCAGTTTCTCACACCAGCGAAACTTCGGAATTTACTCATGTGTGTCCTATTTATTTCACTTAAGAATATCAAAGTGGGAGAGCTAGGGGAAAGGATAGAAGGGAATGGGATTAATATGAGAAAATGGACAAATAGGAACAAAATCTTTGTAAATAGGGAGGACTGGAGGGGTTGAAGGGAGGGCTGGGCAAGGGTGAAAAACAAGAACCAAGAGAGACTATGTAAAGGTGCAAATTTCCAATGATGAATGTCATTATATTGTATACCTAAAATGTACCAATGATTAGAATGAATAATCGATAATGCAAAATAGGAAGAAAAGGTCCAAAGGTGTAGGGGTAGTGGGAGGGGCAGGGGAAAGGAAAGAAGGAAAAGGAAAAATGCTGAGAAATGGAAAAATGGAAATAAAGTCTTTGTAAATAGGGAGAGGCGGAGGGGGTGAAGGGAGGGCTAGGAATGTGGAAAAAATAAGAACCAAGATGCATCATGTAAAGGTACAAGTTCCCAATGAGAAATGTAATTGTGTTGTATACCTACAATGTACCAGTAAAAGAATTTAATTAAAAAAAAAGAAAGAAAGAAACAGCCTCTAGACATTTACCACTGTTTTAGTCCACGGAACTGCTATTACCAATTCATACACTGGTGCTCCTCAACAACAGAAATTTGTTTCTCACTATCCAGCAACAAGGAAACTAACTAAGACAGACTTCATTAAAATCCTAGAGCTGTGTTTACATGCGCCCCAGACATTAACTGCAGTTATCTGGTGGAGTGTCAAGACACAGGATTACAGATGGACTTTCATTTTGTAATTTGTATATCTGTGCCTCTTGTTGACCTTTACAAAAGTCCATATTACTTTCATAGTCAGAAAAAAACTATAGTATCATTTTTTCCATTTTGCAAAACAAAAAACCCCATCTTAGTTCATCCTTGTCCATCTTGTCTTTTGAAATGACAACATATTTTGCATTTAGCAGTATTTGAAATTGTCTCCTATTAACTTTCCAGGAGTGAACTAAAATAAGATAGCAAATATTAACCAGATTATAGTCAAATGGACTGACAATTGATTGAACTACTGTACCTAAAGCATAGGTGGCAACCAGCAGAAAGGTCTCAAGAGAAGTGTCATAGGGCTTTTCCTATTTTATTAATAATTTAGATGACATAGAAATTGTACTTACGACTTCTGAAGATAACTCAAAGTTGGCAGGGTATCAAACACGTTGAAGAACAAAACTGAGATTCAAAACAAGGGAAGGTGGGCTGGAATACTGGGCTAAAATTTAAAAAAAAAGAAATTAAAATAAGACAAAGAAACAATACTCATTTAAAAAATTTAAAAGTCCATTCTGAGAGACCAGAAAAGGGGCAGTATGTCTCAACAGCAGCTCAAATAACTAACAAACAACCTCTCCCCAAAAAAGATTTGAGGTTTGAATTGATTCAAAAGAATAATTTGAGCCAATAGTTTAAGGTAATGTAGTTAAATTATTTAGTTGGTAAAACACTAGTGCACAATTTTAGGTTGTATTAATTAAAGTTTCTAGATCCTAAAATATAATCATCACCCTGTAATCTCCACTGGTCCCTCCTGAAGTCTCCTGTTTAATTCTAGGCATCACGTTTTAAGAGTCATTGAGAAAGGAGACTATCTCGAGGACAGGAGACGGACAAAGGAAACTATTCTGTAACAGAAGTAGCTTCTGAAGGGACCAGAGACATGGTTCTAGTACAGGAGAAAGATTGATGGATATATAGAATATTCACCTGTCTTCAAATCATTAGTATTTTCCTATGGAAGGTACGTACTTACTCTAGGCTACTTAGGTGATAGAACTAGGACTACTGCCACCCAGTGGTAGCAAGGAGGCAGACTGTCAGTAAACCTAAGAGCTTTCTGACCTTGAGAAAGTCCTGCCAGAGGCTGAGCAGGCTAGTAAAGCAGGGAGGGTTTTAGGTCAATGCTTGATAGACAGATGCCTAGTGCCACAATGATGTTAGCTGGGTCCCTTTCAAATCTAAGAGACTGCATCTCTTTCCCCCATTCTCTGTGATCACCTCTTTTCTCAGTCCACAGAGTGGTAAGGCTAGCTCTGCAGGACTACTGGGGCAGCTGTCTCTTGTTTATTATTGTCTGAGGCCTAATGTTTATATTAGGGTCCAACAGCTGGCATAAGTCAAATCATGTCCCTCTCTGGAATAGCTTCTTTGTGGTTTTCCATCACCCTGCAAATGAGAGTCATCATAATGATCTAAAGCCCTAAACAATCTGACCCTAATGACCTCTCTGATCTTCTACACTATTACTCTTCCCCTCATTCCATCCACTCCTGCAATATGGGCTTTTTGGTGGGTTTGTTGTTTGTTTGTTTGGTGGTCCTGGGGATTAAACCCAAGGTCTTTGTACTGAGCTGCATCCTCAATTCCCATTTATTTATTTATTTATTTTTTATTCTTTTGGTTTTTTGAGAAAAGGTCTCACTATGAACCCCAGTCTGGCCTTGAACTCACAGCCAGCCTCAACCTCCCAAGTGCTGGGGTTACAGGCGTGTGCCACCACGCCCAGCGCAATTCCCACTTTTAAAATTTGAGACAAGGTCTTGCTAAACTTCAATTGTCCAGACTGGCTGGAACTTGTGATCCTCCTGTCTCAACTTCCCAGAGTGCTAGGATTAAGGGCTTTGGTAGTTTCTTAAACTAGATATGCTCCTGACTCAGAAGTTCTCCGCTCTGAGATACCTGCATGGGCCATTCTCAACTCCTTTTGGGCTGGCCTCACAGATCAACTTCTCAGTGCGGCCTTATCTACCAACCTTTTCTAAAATCACAGGCTGTTAGGGTTCCGCACCCCCCCTCCCCCCCCACACAGACTTTTGGCATTTTGCAACTCCATCTGAAGTACTCAATATCAGGCAAAATAATATCTTATATTTTTATTTTGCTTTCATATGTCCCTCTATTGGCCTTTACATTCTTTCTTTACATGCCAGGTCCTCAGTAAATGTTTAATGAATTGCATCCTAAATCCATGCCATTTTCTACAGTCTTAATTTTTTATTTCAACAAAAGAAATCTATGTCAACAAAAAATGAAAAAAGAAATTTCAGAGGTAAAACTAGATCAAAAATATGAAGACAAGGAGTTACATGTCAGTAGTGAGATTTGGGATGGTTTCGTCCATTTCTCTCAATTTCCCCAATGTTCTGTTATGTGATCACATTACATTAAAAATCAACTGATAGTTATAAAGGCGGTACCTAATATCTACTGATTACCACATACCAAGCACAGTGATAAGCACTTTATTTAGATTAACTCATCTCCAGCATAATCCTTAACTGTTGGCACTACTATCATACTCATTTTAAAGACCAGGAAACTGAAAAACAAAGAGGTAATATGACTTGCCCAAGGTCACAAAGCTGATAGCAGGAAAATTCCAAAGTGATGATAATGATGACAGCTAACATTTATTTAGTACTAATCCTTCACCAGGCACTGTGTGAAATGTTCAACACACATCATCTCAATTAAAGCTATAACAGCCCTACAAGGGAGAAACTATCAAAAGGTCATTTTTGAGTACTAGAACTTCCTGTTACATAATCAACCATACCCACAGTTTCACTTAGCCTCTGCCTTGGTTCCATGAAAAGCATACTTTGATTCTCTTTTATGCACTCCAGGCCAGTGCAAGAATTGGCAATAATCTTCCAGCTGCTACTTGAACTCTCCACTGTAGATTAGACCTTTAACACATGTGATTTCAGCCTTTACTTACCCTGTCCAAAACGTCTTTCTTTTTCCTCACTAGCCCCATCCTGTCAATTACTCCCAAAACACAGTTTAAATGCAACTTCCTAAAGGAATCTTTCTATAGTCTTTCCATCATGATCCCTCTTATCATACAATCTACACATCTCATGCCAATCTCATCATCTCTGGCTTTGCAGTGGGGGGCTCTCTTCCCATTCATCTATGTCCTTCTCAGACTACAAGCTCAAAGAGGCAGCTGAGCCTTGTGCTCCTTGAATTGCTCTGAATCAATGGTACCTTAGCTTGCACATAGTAGGTGCTTAGTAATTATTTTGCTGATTTAATCATTATACTCCACTCTCATAGTTGCAAAAATGTCTTTTCTTTTCTAAGCGCTCTCATACATTTTATCTTGCTTTACCCTCACAGGCAGCCCTGAGAGGTAAGAGAGGCAGATCTTATTTTTCTCATGTTTACAGTTAAGGAAATTGAGGGCCAGAGAGTTTAAATAAGTTGTCTCAGGTTACACATCTAAGAATTGAGCCTAGCTTTCTGGACTTTGAGCCCCAGAGTCTGCACTAGACCATGATTCTACTGGAAAGTCTTCCCTGGTGGGAGTGATGCTAATAACATTCCTATAAAGACCTTGTCTTGATTCTATCACAGGAGTAAAAGCAATAAAGAACACCAAGAGGCAATATCCTCAGTTGAGATTGGGAAAGCAGGTAAATTCATACACTTTGGTGAGAAGTGCCTGGGGCTTATCGAATGGTGATAACTCTGTTATATTCATTATGAGGAGGGGACTAGGGACTGAATGCTGTTCTCTATACAGGCAGATTAGCCCAAGCCTGAACAAAAGGGCAGCAGCCTAGCAGGCAGCATGGTGAATGTGAGGAAGCACTAGGAGGCAAGAAACATGGGGTCAGGACACAGGTTCTGCCATAAGCTAGCTGTGTGGCATGAAGAAGCTGCTGTACTTCCTCAGTAGAAACCCTCAACTTACAAGGTCACTTACAGACCCAACATTCCACAAATCTATGACACAGGTCACAAATTAGTGATCTATGGGCTCATATCCAAGCCACAGATATATTTTCTTTGTTGTAAATAGTGCTAAAAATTTTATTGAATTCTTAACCAACTTTATATTCTTCCCCAAGGTGCTTTTATCAAGGAACAAGGACATTGTAAAATCAGGTGATTTTACAGAAATATTCAGATGTTTGAATTCTCTACAAAAATAAGATCTGGCTTAGAAATGGGAAGATTCACATTATCTTTGATTTCTAATGTTTCAGGAAAAAATGGACATTTGTGGTTACTTTCTCATCTGTTTATTATTTATAATATAATAGTAGGTAATGTGGTAAGTACAATGGGGAAAATATAAAGCAAAATGAGAGGTCGGGAGTTCTGAAGTGGTAAGGTTGGGAGACTCTACAAGGCCTATAGTTTTATACAAGGTAAACAGAGAAAACCTCACTGAAAAGGCGACCACATTGTCACAGGATCACAATGAATGGGAACCATGCAGTGGCTTCTCCTTTAAACAGAGCGTGTGGATAAAAGGTTAAGGGTGATAATGTCCTTAATAAAGCAAGTGCAGAGTAAATAGACACTGGTGTTGGTAGATGTGAATCAAAACAGAATAAAACTAAATATTTGTTCTTTAAAAGACAGTAAAAAGTTTCAGATGATAAAATAAATATCAAAGTCTAGGAGGAGAGGAAAGCAGTGTGCATAGCAGTTGTTTGGACAGGGGCTTGGTACACTTGTACAGAGCACTTACTAACCAAGAGCAAGTAAACACCCCAATAAACCCAAATGCTCTTTCTGTGTAATGGGGTCAGTACAATTAGCCTGAACCCTGTAGCCATATCCCTGACTTGCCCTTACATCTCAGGCCAGGACCGTTACATGGTATTGGAGCTCACTCTAATAACAGAACAACCAACTCTGTTGACCCAAGTATAGCATGGAAGAGATGAGGACACAAGAGGAATTGAGCGAGTAGTCACTTCTAGAGGGACTTGCCAGATTATTTCTCTGCTGTTTGTTTAATAAGAAATGAGTATTTCAAACATTTTTGATTATGACCTACAGTAAGGGTAAATATTGATATATATATAATTTTCTCTGTATATAACCATATATAAGTATATATAAAGAAACATTTCATGAAGCAATAGTCACCATTATTGTGTAGAGTGCACACTGTTATTTCGTATTCCATTTCTTTGTTCTTGTTTTTTTGAGGGGGGTTATTTTATTTTATTTTCCTTTTTTGTTTTTGAGACAGGGTCTTGCTATGCAGTTCAGACTGGCCTTGAATTCACTATGTAGCCCAGGCTCACCTTGAACTCATGGGGATCCTTCTGTCTCAGCCTCCCTAGTGCTGAGATTACAAGCATGGGCCACCACACCCAGCGAGTTGTTGCTGTTTGTAATGCTGGAGACCTACCCACTGAGTAGATTTCCCGAGCACTGGATAACAATCAGCAGCTTGAAAATTACTGC